TAAATGTTGCTATTATATTTAACATAACACATTATTTCGTTTATTCATTACTAATTCTAATTCAAAAAACTAGTTATCTAATCCTCACTTTAATTCATTAATTTAAACAGTAGTTGATTGACATGGCAAACAAAATGTGTTGTAACAGGAGTCGAAGGAAATATCACTATCGAATCCTCCACCATCTTCTCCTGGTGATTTGCAATCATTATCCATATCTCGATGAAGTATTGCAAAATCGTAAATCTTTTTGATATAAAATCCTTGGATAATTTTTGCAGGACAAAAAAGTTAGTTAGTTTTCATGACCAAGTTTTCTTTTTGTTATAAAATTTATAAACGGAAAGGAAGGGAAAGACAGGGGGAGGGAAGAGACAAATAATTTCGATATACTGCAAGCAGATACTTTTCATTTGTGGCAAAATATTTCAAAGTCGTCGAGGATGTTAACGTCGTCGGGGATGTCAATAACATCGTCGATGTCAATATCTTCTATGTCAACAACAACATTGTCGAGGATGTTAAGACCGTTGAAGATGCTATCATCGGGCTTGTCGAGGTTGATAAAGTTTTCTGAAGGATGTACATCATTTGAGCAATTTTGTTGATCTACTGAACTTTGACCGGCAAAATGATGGTTTCGTGTGTCTGTCAAAGTATGTCCCAACTGCGGATTTCCTCCCGTTGGACCTGGAATGAACATTTCTTAGATATCACTTCATTGTGCCAAAGAAAGTGAACAATTTGTTCCACTCCATGGTCATAGATATTTCACAACATATTTTTCGCGTGCATTCATTTTCAGATAGATAAAAATGCTAAAAACTGCTGAATTTGCAAAATTTAGAAGCTCTGATGGAATATTTGTTATGTCATCTCAGCGATTGCTTGAAAATTGAGGAACTTTTTTACTCTGTTTGTATTGACAGGATTTCTTGTGTCTGGAAAATCCCGATGAACAGCGGTATTCTCTTCCACAACCGGGATGTTTGCATTGATAGCGAAATGGTTTTTTGTGTCTTTGGAAATGTTTTAAATATTCGCTTTTGCCCTGGATGATCGCATTACAATCGGGATGTGGACACTCATACTTTTCAACATCTGTAAAATAACTGTTGTAATATTAAAATGTCTTGAGAAATACTCGTTGCCCGAATGATCTT